GGGAGGAGGGTTCTCTGGAATTGTTGAGATTCGCCGTGGACACCGTTCGAGACGACAATGTCGCGTCAAATGCGAGCGCGACATCTCTGCCAGCTCTACTACCGTTGACCGAAAATGCTACTTCCCTGCTGACTTTATCATCTACTAGAGGTCAGTAAGAGCGTATTTTCTCTCTCTTTGATGAAAAGATAATCTTTCAGCAATTGTATCATTATTCAAGAAACATTTTATCCGCATTGATACATTTGTCGCGTGGATCACACAATTTTTGAAAACACTAGTCTAAATATGCGTTAATTGTTGCGATATTTTTATGAACTTTCATCGCATTTCAGTAGAATACGATATGGCCATTGTACCTGAAGACAGAATCGTCGCCATACACGCTAGTAACCTCAGCGAGGACGATCGAACGATACCTCGGACGATACAAAGGGCTCTGCCGCCGCCCAGGGAAGAATCTATGGCTCTGGCAATCGAATCGTCTTCTTCGCCAAATAGTACGTTTTTCCTTTCTTTTTTTATTATTAATTCTTGAAATGTAAGTCGAAATGTTGAAATGTAACATATAATTAAGACGGTTTTGGTAAGAAGAATATTTCTTTACACTTTTTTGAAATTCTCCTTTCCAGATGTAACTGATGACCAGCCCGCGTTACCACCTGCTCCTCAACGCCCAGCGGTTATGGCTGGAAACGAGATAGTCGCCACACAACCGATTGTCATCAGAACACTAAGAGATATCATCCCGTCCACGTCGAATTCTCACAAGCATTTTAAGAGAAGAGAGCCACAGGTAATATCTATTTTTAATATCTTGTATCTACATTTGTATTTTACACGTTAAACTTTTATATCTCTTATACAGATATATTTTGCACTAAAAGTAGTATTTACAGCTTGATTACGCTCGCAAAATATTCGTGTGTTTTCCAGAGCGGATCGATGCGGATCAATGAGTCGTCGCAAACCGTCAAGGTGGGAGAGAGCATAATATCCTTGCTGTTGAAGTTACATTCTCAATTATCGGGCGTGCCGGACAGCTACAATCCCGAGCAAGGTGCAACATTGGACAACGAGCCCGGTAGCAGCAGTAGCAGCAGCAGCAGCAGCAGCAGCTCTTCGGCGTCGCCGCCGTCAAGCGAATCGCGAATCGGCGATGGACCGTACTTCATATCGCAGCTACTTAAGAAAATAGCGGACTTGGATCCGATGTGCAAACAAACCATTATCGAAACTAGGAACAAATTGTGGCCTCGTATGCAGGAATGCAAAGAGGACGAGCAGCGTGAGAAGGAGAATCGCGAGCGAGAAGAACGGCGAAGAAGAGCGAAGGAAAGGCAGCAGAAATTAATGGCGGAATTCGCCAACAAGCAGAAGCAATTCATGGAGAAAGCAATGAAGACTGGTAAGTTAATACGTGAAAAGTTGTAATATAAATTATCACTGGATCTTGTTTCAAACAAGGATAGTGTTTATTAGGAAGCTATGAAAGTCCGTCACATTAATCAAATGCTTGTTCTTTTTTACAGAGGAAGCAGGCGCGTCTGGGATGGATTGGGATCAGGAGGAAAATACGACTAAGCTAGCTAGTAAAAAAGAATACGACTGCGTGATATGTAATCAGACCACTCCGAGCAGCGAGGATAAGCCGATGGGACTTGTTGTATTGGTTCAAGTAATGCATTTTCCGTTTGTTAATTCTCAAGATCCAGCTATCTTTCATTCCACAGAAGATAAATTAGATATTCCGCTCTTTTGATCAAATAATATTGGCATTTTAAAGGCACAAAAATAACAAATTTTTAGGAAAGAATTTTGTATCACTCGCGTTACACGTGTTTTCTTCGCGCAGGCGACCAGCATTATCGGCCACGAACGACAGCAATCGGATAGGCTAGTTCTTCCCACGTCTGACGAGGACCCGCCTATACCGAAGGGAGACACCCGCGGTGCCCACTTCGATCGCAGGATGGACGAAATGAGTCGTTTATTCGACACGGTAAGCGAATTTTTCAATACTTCCTTTTCCGCGCAAGATGCAACCGGCACAAGTCAAGAAATTCCTCCTACTTTTCTGAAAATAATGCACAACGAAAGATATCGTTCTTTGGTTCTGTGAAGAGTTTAAGAAATCCTTTCCATCACATTGCTGTCTTTATAATATTGTATTTTTTTTCATTTTCCAGTTTTCGTGGCTACTTTCGGTCAATTTGGGCTGGGAG